TCAGCAGTCGCTGGGAGACCTCCATGTTGCGGGAGCCCTCCACTACCGTCCCACTGACTGTAGGTTCACTCCCCAGCTCCAAGAGCTTCCTTGGCATGAAGTCACGAGAGTTGTTTCGCAACAAGAGTGAGAGCCAGTGTGATGAGCACGGTGTAACCATCAACAGCCTTTCTGATACTCTAAAGACTGAACTATGTAAAGATCCAAGCATGGAGACGAAGGCTCCTCCGAGCCCCGATAACCTTAGCCTCTCACCTAAGATCCAGGAAAGCAGTGTTGGACAGCTTCATATCATGGACTACAACGAAACTCATCATGACCACAGTTAAAAAGGAAGATAGTCAATCAGTGTTATTTTCATGTTCTTGGCATAGAACAGGAGGCGTGAATGCAAGTTTAACTAAAAGCTTTTATGTTTCTTTGGTCTGAGCAGCTAGCTCATGCAGTGGAATAGGATTGATGTCCAGTAACACAAGAAGGCTGCTGAATGAATGCAAGGTGGATTTTTGGGTCTGCAGTTGAAATGCCCAGCCTAACTCTTGCTTCTTTCTCAAATTCAGTCCTTAGCAGCGTGTACTAATTTGAAGGGACAACTGTTAGCATTTACAGATATTTTTTTTCCCTTTCTCCCTGTGCGCAGTGAGTGGCTGCGTTTATGAACTTGAGTGCAATATGAGGCCAAACTAACGTGTGTGAGTCTACTATGAATGCTTTGTATTTCCTTGCAAGCTTCCAATTTAGAGCAGTTAATTGTGCTGCCTGTTTGGGTGATTCTGATTGTTTTCATCACGGAAAGGAGCAACGCTAGAATTTCTGGTGTGTTCATCTAAGGGTCTCTATTTTGCCTGTCTGCTGCCCCACCTTTCTCAGAGCCCAATCTTTAAGTTGGACTCCAATTGAGTACTTAAATGTTTAAGGAACGGTGTACCTCTGCAAAATAATTCGTTCATCCTAATTCATAATCACTGTTTATATTGTCCTTAACATTTCTTGGAAAGTTTCATTTGAATAGATGCTTAACAAGGAACTGGAGCTTGTAATGCAGAGACGATATGTGAAGACTTGTTAAAACACTAGCTTCTGATTGCATTGGAATTGTGTTTGTTTGACAGACTGGTACTGACCTCAGACTGGTTCATAGGGGAAAGCAGTTAGGTGGGAGAAGAGGGAGAAGGAAGCCTTAGTCACATAAGGAGAGCATGCAGAACATGTATGTAGAATGAAGATTTGCAGCTCACAAAGAGCGTTTCTTTCTCTAATCAGGGAAATATTTGTCTTGCCTGGACTCCTTCACGGTTTTTGTTCCTGATCTGAGCAAGACCACTGTGTTCTGATGTCAAGAAATTGGCTTCTACCTGGGAGTTTGTTTTGGGGCTTGACTTGCAGAAAACAGTTTCCTTTGAGTGCTGCTCTGTACCACCTGCAGCACGCTTTTCAGCTCAGCGATGTCAGTTTGGCACTAGATGTATCCCCTTCATCCCCATTTCCTTAGAAGATGAGGCTGAAGAAGCAGCTTGCTCGTTCGAACTGAGAATCTGATGGTGAAAGCCTTTCTGTGTTAATCATGTTTAAGCCTTCAATGAAAGAGGATTGCAGGGTCAGGGCTTGTCAGTGGTCTGACTCAGTCTCCTTTGTGACAGAGCAGAGCCTGTGGGTTAGGAAGGCAGTGTGCTTGTTTCAAGCCGTAGGTGTGTCTGAATCCAAGCGTACGTGGCCATACTGGGCTTCACAGGTACCTGCACGGCACGTGGCCTCTTCTCAGACCTTCTGTGGGTGGCAGCTGCTGGTCGAGAATCGTCTCAAGTATTAAATCAAGGCCACATTAAATCAGTTCCCATCCTAACCAGAGGAGGAGTCTGCTGGAGGAGCTGGCGGTCTGATAACTTGTGCCAGGCACTGCTTCTCCTGCTGCTTTGTCCGTAACACCTCGGGTTGAAATACATTTCTGCCTGTCTGCGTTACTCTGTGTCCTTTTGGTCAGTCCTAACTCTGAAAGTAAGGTGAACTTAAGTGGTTTTGTCAAAGCTTGAATCTGCATGGAATAGAAAATAGAGAGTTGGTTGTAAGTGACAGACTGGTTTTGTCGACATGTCTATAGGCTTTCTAAGACTTAGTGGTAGCAAACGTGGTAGCGTATGTTTTGGTAAGGTTTGGAGGTTTCCTGCCTCTCATCCCACCTGGTCCCAGCATGGGGAGTGGAGCAGTTTGCACGTTGCCCTGCAGGCAGCTCGGCTGGTGGAGCTGGAGGTGTTGCATGGCTTCCTTGGAGCACCCTGCTGTGCTGAGCCCCAGAGCAGCACCCTGCTGGTGTGGCGACCTCCATCGTCCAGAGGAGAGGCAGCTTTTGTTGTCGGTGACAAACGTGCCCTGGTGGTAATGCAAGCTCGTTGAGGTGGCTTTTTTCTTCTTTTAAAAAGGACTTTAGCACCAGGATAGTGATAGAAACCACTTTCGGTTTGTTTATGGACCACAACGATTACGGAGGAACAAATTTTGCAGTTTATTTTTTTTTTGTAAAAGTCTAAAAATCATGGATCTGCTGTATGTAGTTAACTTGCAGTTTGTTTGAAGGGGTCCCATCAGTGAAGTGGAAACAGATACATTTTTTTTTCTGACTGACTGCTTTTAGTTAAATCTAAAATTGCTGTCTTTGTCAAGTTAATCTGTTCCCTGCCTCGCTCTTTGTAAGCATGTTAAACAATCCACATTAAATGCCATAAATATGAAACATGAGGAAATGGTACAATCCTAAGCTAAAGAGAACTTAAACCAAAAGGAGGTTTTGCTGTCCTTATTAGAATGTTCTAAAATGTCAAGGCAGTTGCTTGTGTTTAACTGTGAACAAATAAAATGTATTGTTTTGCACTACTAAGTGTTAAATTCCCTGCAAGCTGATCTGTTTGGGACCAAGCTGTGCTGAGGCAGAACGTGCAGAAACCAAGTGAAGCACCCTCCAGGATCTGTGAGCAGAACAGCATTGAGCAGGTAAGAGGTTCTGCCCCTTTTTGTATGGTGTTCATTTGACAGAATTTGAACAGTGTGCATGAAGGCACGAGTCAATGTGCAGCTGTCTGTGAAAGCACACTGGCTGAATGGGAAGATGTTGTGTAACCCTAAGCCTTATTCTAGATACTGGGTGTTGGGGAAAGCTGCTTTTGGTCCTCCTGCATTGGGTAAGAAAGCAGAAAGTTCATCCAAGCTCGTTTTGAATCCCTTTTGCACAGCTCTTAAGAAGCGTGCTGCTGGAAAGCTGAATGTGCCAGTGTAAGAATGGCAGGTGTTAGCCACAGAACTGTGGCCCCAAGGTACAGCAAGAAAGAAGAAAGAAAAGCTACTATGTAATAGCTTGGTACTTTGTAAACCTGGCTGCGAACAATAAATACGCAATAGGCACCAGGGGAGGAAATCACTAACTTTATTTCATGTCTTTTAAGCACTTCTGCTGGTTGATCTTGCTTTACTTGTACTGCTTCGCTACCAGTGCAATAGGCTGGAGTTTGGAAGTTACAGAGCTTTGTGGGGGAAGCATTGGCATTCAGAGCCCTGTATCAGCATTTGGGGCTGCAGGGCCGGACACTTAACTTGCACACTCACAGAAGTCAGAGGTGAGCCTTACCCCAAAGCAGTGATGGGTGCTGGGATGCCCTAAGCTGTGCTGCCCTGCAGCCCTCAGCATCTGAAAGGAATGAGGCGTTTACTTTGTCAGCGTACATCAGCTCAGTGCCAGCAGTCTCTTGAGATTTTATGCTCTCAGAGGCTGAAGTAGAACTTTATGGCACTTCTGTGCTTGGCATTTACATCCTGTTTATGTAAATGCCTCAAACAGCTTGATTTGTAAGAGAGAAAAACAATTCTTGCTGTATCTTTTTCTCTTTTGAAGTGTCCATCCACTCTGGAAGAGAAGAACTTGTATGGAAATTAAGTAATTTGTCTCTCTGTTTTTGTGAGGTTTAACTTTGTGTCTTTCCTACAGATCCTGGTCGTGTCATTACCAAACCCCAGACTGCAGTTTTATGTGCTCGTTTTCCTGCTTGTGTCTTCAGATTTTGCTTAAGACTGATTGAAAGGATAAGGCCAGGTTAGAGACGACTGCTAAGGTCTGTGAATTGTGTTTGTTGTGTGTGTCAGACCTCTGTCAAGCACGAGTGCTAACAGCGGGGCTGGAGAGGCAGCAGCTCTGGTGGCACTGCTCTGACGTGCAGTTTGTGCTGTCATGTGCTGTGGGAACTGAAAGGAGCTCTGGAGTGGAGGGTAATTGCACTCTGATCAGAGCCTGCATATTCAAACTGAAATGTCTTGGCAGCTGGCGCTGGGACAGCCAGAAAAGAGAGCTGGGAATTGTATCCCTGGTGTCCCAACACTTGTTGCCCTGTAGACAACATAGCTGTGCTGGGTTTGGAAAACTTTCCAGGCCAGCAACTGTTATCAGACACTTGTCTTTGCAACACGAAACACAATGAGGCAGCTGCAGACAGCTTTGATTCCCTTCCCCCAAAGCTGCCTCTGCAACACAGCTCCCTAATGAAGCACATCTTGCTGCTGTGGCCCCGTTAGTGCCCTGGAGTCTGTGTCATCTCAGGAAGGTTTTGGAGTTCAGTTGGAGTGCAATGCCTCATAAAAATCAGCTTCTTCTCCAGATGGGCAGATGTATTAGAGAGCAGCACATGGAGGCAGGGGAGGAAGGAAAGTGGAGAAGAAAGAGGGTATGTGTGAGGAATCACAGTGCTCCTGGAACTACTTATTTCATCTGAGCTATCATTCCTTACTATGTTCCCTCCTCTGTGTTGTGTTAATTTTCCCTTCTTTTTTGGCTGCTTGTTGCCAAAATCTGGTCGTAAGGCAACAGCTTTCCACAATTTGAGCAAACTGAGCCAAGTATGCAAGGGGAAATTGTTTATTCAGGAGTGTCTTCCAGCAGGAAGCAAAGAACAGGAGCTAATTTGCCTGTGGGAGGGGAAAAGAGCAGTCAGATACAGGGAAGACATTGCATTAGTGAGATCCTAAGTTTGTAGCTAACTGCATTTGAATAAAAGCACCACCACAGATGCATGTCAGCTGCAGGGAGTGGGGGCTCTGTAACTGCTGAGCCCCCAAAGAGGGCTGGGAGGAAAGCTGCTCTCAGCAACTGGGGAAAAGATATTGTGCTGGAATTGCAAAGGGCTGTTATAAAAGCAGTGTGAGACCACTTCCAGTGCCTTTCAGTTTTAATGAAGTAGGTGTCATAACGCCCTTGAAAATCAAGGAAGCTGGGTTCTTTTCTTGAAAAGGGGGAGAGGCTTTTTTTTATTTTTATATAACTTGCAGTCTGTAAAGAAAGGAACCATCTGAAAATGGCCACTGCTTTCTCAATCTCTGCTTCCCTTATATTCCCATTAGTCATGCTTAATGAAAAGGACCTCCCATTAGCTTTGCCTGGGTCTGGGGAGGAATCCTTTATATTTCCAGCTCTGCTGACAGCGAAGGAGTCAAAGTGGACATAAGGAAAATGTTCTGGTTGGTGTTACTGGTGATGATGTGAGGATCTGCAAGGACCCTGCAGAGCCCAGGCAGTGCAGCTAAACCATGCTGACCTTTCCTATAGCCAATGGCATTACAGTCCTGTCGACACTGATTCTTTGGTCCAAAAAGCTGGTGATTTCCATGGGATCAGCTGGGGTGGGGAAATCTTAGGGATAAGCCCAGTATGATTAGAATATGATTGCTCCTCACTGTTACTCTCACCACAATACTTGTCAAAGGGACCATAAGTGATAAAGGTGCTTCTGTTGAGATCTGACATTCAGGAGGAGAGTGGAAATAACAGCAAGGAAGAGGAAGATAGATCTGCCAGGACTAACTCTTCAGATCTTGGATTTGCAGCGTTCATTTCACTATCTTTAATCAGCCACCTGATTAAAGGTGGTTAAGTGGAAGATACACGACCTCCAATCCTTTAAAAGGCATGTCTGCCAGGTGGTTTCCAGGGGCCTTTAAGTTTCCCACAGTGGTTTTCTCTGTCAGTCATGTGCTTCTTTCTGACACGCTTATTCCCCTGCACTTGTACACAATCTTTGTTACTAACTGAGGTCTGAGCTTCAGGATGGACGGAAGGTGTTTGGGGGGAAATGGCTGCCCTAGATGGTGCATCCTGGGGTGCCCTCTTCTCAGCACTTGTATCACTCACGTTACACACCATGTGCCGTGGCAGCTTCTCAATGTGGGACAGCCACTCCTTCACGCCATCTAGGACAATGGGGATGAGGCTCACCACACCTCCAAAGTGATTCTTTGCTTCGTCGCAGCTCAGGTGATTCACAACATCGTGAGGATATCTGTGGGACAGAAGGAAGCATTCATTGAGTAGTCCAGGCAACGCAGCCCTGGTGAGTCCAGCAGTGCCACCCTGAGCCCACGGGGAAAGGTGGAGATGTAGGCAGCAATGTCCCCAGAGCAAAAGGGTGCTGATAGAACTTGAGAAAGGAGCTGTGTTGTGCCTGCTGGACTCAGCCTGCAGGAGTTCAAGAGCAAATACAAACATCTGCTCCATGAAATTAACTACACACAGAGCAGGAATAGCAGGGAGGAGCCAGAACGATGTCATAACAGAAACCAGCAGGGAGGTCAGGTAGGAATATGCATTCTTGTGACAGTCTTCCTGTATCCACAATTGCCTCCACAGAACTCAGCTGATGGAAAGACGTACTTGGCTCGGATGGTGCTCAGATCATTGCTGTGGTTAAGGAGCAGCTTGCATCTTTCCAAAATTTCATTGGTTGTGCTGTTACCACGATGCATAGTTTCCAGCTTGTGGCAGAGATTGCTCAGGTCATTACAGATGTTTAGGAACATGGTGAGGATACGCCTGTCCGTTAAGTTGTTACAGTGGTGGTCCATGTAGGACTGTACCTGCAGAGTGCAACGTGGGGAAAGAAGGGGTCATGCATGTTAAATTACACTGTGATATGCTGCGAAGTTGCTTAAGTCAGTGAACAGCAGATACTTTCTGGTGTGACTGAAGGAATGAGCCACTATGGAAAATGATACAGAGGCAAGCAGTAAGCTTTCTAGGGCATGCCTGAGATTGTTTGCTCATCGTTCATCACAGCTGAAGAGGGCTGGGGTAATGGATCTGCTTGTCAGCACAGCAACAAGCCTTCCTTCCTTCCCTCTTTGGAGAGTAGTATGGCAGTACTGCAGCCAAAAACAGCTCTGCTACGAGCACTGCAAAGTTGGGTTGGGTGTAAGCAGGGGAGTTTACTGTCTTCTGTACTGCCACAACTGCTTGCATAGAATGGGGTGGGAGATGGGGGTGGTGGCCAAACTGGGAGTGTTCTGGAGTAAAGCATGGATGTGCTTGCATACATGCACGTTGTTCATGGTTCTTTATTTGGCACTATTAGCTGTGACAACAAAATTAAAAGCATTTAACCTGAGTTGTCCTTACTAACCTATTATAGCAATGACAATTCCCTATTTGCCTTGAATGGTTTTGTTTCTCAGAGTAAATGGCACTGTGTGGTGAAAGACTATGACAAGAGATTCAGTATCTGCTTCAAAAGCATTACAGATGCTTCAGACTTGAATGGTAGGAATGTAAAACACAGAGGGGGGGTTGGCAGCCATGGCTGGACTGTAACACCTTCAGTGCTTTCTGTAAGACTACAGCATAAGAATGAAGGAACCGCTCCACCACCAGCATGCTCTGTGCATACAGAACAGCCATGCTATACACCAGGGCAAATTCTCAGCAGGTTTGTAAGAGAAATAAAGAAGGCCCCTAAGGATCCATTTCCGCTACGAATTTTTCCTTCCTCTGTGTTCATGCTGTGTTCTGTCCACGTGAGTGGCAGGATTTTTTTTTTATTGCTGCTCTGAGCAGAAACAGTCCTAAAGAGAATCGCGTTTTAGCCTGGGTGTTCATCAACAGGATTACAGGACTTCTTTCTGTCCACATCAACAGAAGAGAGTTAGTGCACCAGGAGGGGACCAGGACAACGTGAGCAACAGCTTGCAGTGACCACCAGGTTCTGCAGCAGGAGTTGCTGGCTCTTAAGCTGCAGCCTGGGGAGCTCAGGGAGAGCTGGGCTAAAGCCATGAGCACAGCCAGGCTCGGCGGAGGAGGCACTTGCTGGGTTATTTGAGTCTCCGACTGAAGCAAGTGACAGCACAGGTATTTGCTGGTTTTATTCCTATGCCCTCCTATATACAATTCAAAACAAGATTGGGATAAGGCAGAAGAATGGCAGTGAAACTAAATGTGTGACTGTTTTTGTCCCAGTGAAGTTTCTTCGTTTCAGTTCCCACACAAGAGCCCACCACCACGTGCTGTACCGATGTTCCCTGCTCTCCCCAGTAACAATCTCTTCCTTTTTCTCTCCTTTCTCTAAGGTGACATGGTGACATCCCTAGGGCTACCCATGCAGTAAGGTTTGCCACTGCTGAGTCCACATCCCTGTATCACTGTATCACTGTGTCAGTGTCACTGTCACGTATGAAGTAGTTGCTAGGAGGTTTCATCCCTACAAAAAGCAGGTCTTCCACCCCACCAGGAAGCAGAGTCTGAGCTTGCTCTATGCTTCTACAATACCTGTGCTTTTAAAAACAACATAATGCTATACAAAACTTCAATGTCTATTTTTTTGGGGGAAAAAAAAGAAATTAGCTTAATGTCTGTGAGAATACCCTTCAATGTTAGAACAGTCAGCCCTCTTCAGTTTCTTAATCCTAATAAGAGCTTGGCCTTCAGTCTGGCTTTGGCATGCTTCTGGTCTTTGTGCCTGGGTTCTGCTTTCTCACATCCACTATTCTAGTTCTGTTTGGATTTTTCTTCCCCCTTTGTTTTCCAGTGATTGAAGTTTGCACTACTTAAAACATCCCCTTATCAAAATTCCATGACATTTAACTTACCAGCCCAGAAAACACCTTAGCCCACTTGGGACTTTCAGCCCTCGATCCATCATACTATCTCTGTAACACAGCCATTATTTTTAATAAGCCCTACAGAAAGATACAGTAGCACCAATACCAGGGGAAGAGGCAAGCAGGCTGGTTACTGCAAGTTAAGGATTACAGATTCCATGTGTGGCTGAGGAGGAAGGGTTGGTTTGTTTGTAGTACCCTGTATTTCTGACTATGCCTCAGCAGTGAAATGACAGCATTAAGCTAAATTCTACAGCAATGCTGAGCAAAGTACTTCCTTTTCTGTCACTGGGAAAGTCTAACAGAGGTGTTCCTTTCCCCTGCTTAATCTTTTGCCACTGCTTCACAGTTGTGCACACACATTAGTACCAAGTTTCTGTGCATTCTTGCATCGCTGTGCCCAGTTCCCATCAGCAGAAACCTTTGTGCTGAGCGTTCTGTACCTGGCTGATGCTCGCCACGGGCCTGATCATGTCGTGTGCGTTCTCTCTGGTGTGTTGCAGAGCTCCAATAAACGTGAACTGCTGCTGCAGGAAGAGCTTGTAGTTGTCTTCTATGACTTTTAGGGTATCCCTTACCTCATTCATCTTTTCCCACTGTTGGAATCTGGAAGAAAACGAGAGAAAAGCAGCTCCTTTTTAGAAATGACACGATTCTACGTGTGTAACTCTATGTTTCAGCAGAGTTGGAAAGCAGCACCACCACCAGAAGGATAAAAAAGAAGATATACGACGTCAAAGCACGGTGGTCCCCGGGCCCCAGGCAGTAAGTCATGGCAGCGGTAACGATGCTGGAAAAGAGGCAGAGAGCCCGGGGGGCCGCTGACAATCAGCTGCCATAAACCCGAGCGGGGCTGCTGTAAACATAACGCGGCACTGCATCAGTCACGGCGCTGGGAAATGGCCGCAGGGAGAGCTGTCGTTTTTTTGCCCGTGTGAAACCATTGCCCGAGGGGGAGCGCGGGGCAAATGGAGGGCCTCTGCCCGGCACCGCAGGTGGCTCCAACGCCCCCCTCACTCCTTCACCGCCGCAGAGTACCGGGCCGGGCCTCCCCCTGCAGCTCCGTACCGGCGTGTGGGGCCGCGCGGGGCAGTGGGGCCTGGGCCGGGCTCAGCACGCACCCCGAGCCGGGTCCCTAGCAACCGCCGCCGCCGTCTCCGTAGCAACCGTCGCCGTTCGATGACGTCACACTGCAGCGTCTCCCTTACGTTTCGGGGCGCGTGTCGCTGCGTCGCATTGCAGTGACGTCACTCCATAGCAACGCAGCGCCGCGGACGGTTGCTAAGGGCGGCCATGGACGCCCCCGCCCGGTCGTGGCCGCCGTCGGTGGGCGACTACGCGGAGCGACAGGGGCTCTTCCGGCTCCTGCAGGTGAACGGGGGCGGGGAGGGGCCGGGGGGGCCCGGCTTTCCTCACAGCCTCCGGCGTCGCAGGGAAAGTGGGCACGTATAGCTGGAGTGCCCGCGTCAAACTGAACCCCGATGTGCAGAAGTGAATGAAATGGAGGGGAGGCACGTGAGGGTGTGGGCGCGGAACGGCGAGGGTCCATCGCTGCCGGCCTGAACAAGTTCGATAAAGCTCGGTTTGCTCGGCTCGCAGCTCGAACAAACGCTGCAAAGCGATGGTCGTGGGCTGAACTTACGAGAAGCCGAGCTTTGTGCTGTGCTGTTTGCTGCTGGGTGGGAAAGGAGACGGTCGTTCACTCAGCACTGTTTGAGATTTGCTTTTAATTACAGAACTCCCAGCTGTGCTGAAGTTCCTGATGAGAAAACGGATGGAGTGGTGTTTGCTCATAGAGCTGCAGTCAGCAGAGATCTGTGCTGCTGGAGGAGCTTCAGCTCAGCTCAGCTCCTCCACAGCCTCCATTCTGCAATAAGAGAACAGGATCCAAAATCAGAGTTCAGAAAAGGGCTTTAAACCTTTTTTTCCCCTGCTAGTTTTATGGCAGGACAGAGGGCAGCAAGATTAAAGCAGCAAAATGTGCTGCTTTTGTGGTTTTGATTGCTTGGTTTGGGGCAGTCGTGTGTATTTCCTGTGGGCCCCATCTATTCCACTGCCCTCTAGGCTCGCTGGGCACTTGTGGGGATGTGCCACAGGTTTAACTTGCCCCAAAAAGGCACGAAGGAGGCTGGTTTGGTGTTGTCCGTGTGGGTTGATGTCAGTGCTGGCTCAGCCATTGCAACACTGGGGCAAAACCCCTCAGGTCTCCATATGTATCATAAATAAGCAAAAGCAAATTGCTGTGGGGTTTTCATTTAATTCATTTCTTTATTTATTGTAAAACCATATTTTGCTTTTTCAGCCTCTCAAATAGGGTCTATATTCCCTGCTTTGTCTGTTGAAGGGGACCTAAGAAAATGAGTGACTAAGATCCTCATCACCACCTTGTTGTAACATTGCTCCTGTGGTGACTTTAATTTTCCTCTGACTTTGTTCTGTTGTTTTTCAGAACATGCTTGAAGAGCTGTTAATTCATAAGCCGGAGGACCCCGTTCAGTTTATGATAGAGCATTTAGAGCAGCACAATGATGATGGTAAGTGAAAATTGAGAGACTAGAGACAGTGCAAGGCCTTATTTGCAATGAGCTGCTCAGAAATGGCATTTTGGTTGGCAAAGGGTGGATAAAAGGTTTCAGACCGTTCCCTGGAAGGAATAAAAAGGATTGAGCATTATGCAGTGGTTATAAATAAGGTGCTTTTAATTTCATCATCATCTTTTTTTTTTTTTTTTTAGTGGGTAATCTAATAAAAAACACACTTATAACAGTTATAACAATGAAACCCTCTCAGGGAATAACAAAGAGTTCTATTGTATCAATTATTAATGCGTTCCGTGCCCCATCTGATATTTCCTGTTGTCTTTAAGCTCACTAATTACTCCTTTTGTCAGGTGTAAATTTGGTTTCCCATTCTACCTGGGCTGGCAGATTCTCTGGTTTTTGATTAGTGAGTTACTAGCTGTTGTTAATGAGTTCCGCCGCTCAGTGGCATCTCAGATGAAGGAACAGTGAGTGTGCCTACTTGTGTGGATAACAAAACCTGCTAAATTGAATGGGAAGGCTGTGCTCTGCCCAATAAAAGCATGTACACTCAATCAAATTATTTGATTTACAAACTGTTCACCCTTAGGCAGATTCTATTTGGATATGCACAACGGAACTCTAATTTTTGTTCTGCGTGAGCTGTCAGGAATAGCTGGCGTCACGTTGCTTTGATGTTTCTTTAAAACCAGAGTAAACCATTACGAAAGTTCTGCTGCAGCATCAATGAAGTCATTACCACTGGAGGTGCTCTGAGATCTTCATACGTCGTGGTAGGGATCAGATGGATGTTGATTGAAACCCCGCTCAGGATCAAAACCAGAAAGAAATGTCCAATCCTGCAAATTGTGCCTGACCCTTCCTGGTGTGGGCAGCACCAGTAATCAATCTGTTTTATTGGCCCGTGGGCAATTTGCAGAGGAATTGCAGCTTGATAGAATGCTGATGAGATTTCTCTGCATTACTCGAGCATTTGTTGCTGAGCCCCACAGAATTATTTGAGCGCATTTAGGCGGGCTGCCATTTTGTGGCTTCAGTTCTTGGAGGCTAAAGATAGAACTACAGCAGTTGTTTGTCAGAGGAAAAATGCTGTCTGCTTTTGGTCTGGAATGAGCTATTAAGAAGGGGAAGGCGCTCCAATTAAAATTAGAGACTAAATGTTGTTTTAGAGATAAATTATATGGAAAGTAACGTAACAGAAATCTGTAACAAGGTTGATTTTACCTTTTTGATCACGGCAGAAGGTGCTGACTATTTAGAAGAAAAAAAACCCTTATTAGAGCCATCAGTAAAGCAATGAATTTTCATGATCCTGCCTTGCTAGACAGCTTTAGCCCTAGAGAAAATTTCAAACAGAGACGTGTGGAAAAGGAGTATTGCGTCTATCCCAGGTGTGAAGTTAGCAACCCTTTTTAATTAATAATAAGATCTAAAGTACTCTTAAAAATATAAACAAGTCTAATGATGATTATAGCTCACAACTGCCTCCGAAAGCTCCGAGGTCAGACGCACACCAATGGGTTTGTGCTTCCAGTTCTGTGATGTTCTTCTTTCCTGTGATCCTTCTGGAAGCCCTAACGAACGATACGAAGATTGAGAATTCTTTAATATACAGAGATGTGAATTTTGTGTGTTGCATCTTGGTTTTTGTTAACAAAGAGAGCTTTCAGGATCCAAGCAGCGTTTCTGTGAGCTTTTGCTTCACAATTCCTCTGAAGGAATTTAACACAGTTCTGTAAGAATGTTCTTCACATACTGTGTGCTGTTCCTCTTTGGCATGGAATTTCCCTTATAAATCAAGCAGATTTTATTGCATTAATATTAATTGTAGACTCTTTTGGACCTAAATGGAATGCAGAGAGTCCAGCCGTATTTCATTATTCCAGAATTCATTTTGTTTATTGCTATGAGCATCCTTGGATGTTAAAACTTTATAGTGCTTGGAAGAGTAAATCCTGTAACATCGGGACTAAACACAGGATGAAATGTGATTTGTTGCTGCAGGAAAAGTCCTTTTCCAGGCTTTTCTCACTTTGTTTAGGGATGGAGGTCCGGACCTGCAGCATTAAGCACCGACTGTCTGCTGATGGGAGGGGGTTAAACATGACATCCAGCCGTGTCCTGCTTGTGCCCTGGTGTCAGATGTTTGGGGAGAATGCTTTAGAAGAGCCTTACAAGTGTGCAAATGAGTAAATCAGTGAATTACGCTGCCCCATCTGCTGCGAGTCACTAAGCAGAGAGAAAACCAGATTTAGTACAAAGTGAGCATTTACAGTAGCCCTGGGCAATATTAAAGCATGATATGGTGTATATAATGGTATGTTTCGTTTTTTATCAAACGTTTGTCCAAGAAAGCTGTGTATTAAAGCTTCAATACCTAAGGGTTTTCTTGTGAATTTTAAATCACGCTCCTAGTTAAACCTCAAAAGAATCTGTGGATGGAAAGGTTTTTTGATTTTCTTTGAAGTGGTTTGAAGAAGTTGATTAGTGTTGGCACCCGAGCACTCTTTTATGACGCTGTTTATAAATAATTCCTAAGTATCGGGCTGGAGTTTCAAGGTGTTAGATTAAAAAAAAAAAAAAAAAAAAAAAAAGCCCTAGGATTTAATCACATTACATTTGAAAGAAATTAGGTGATAAAAACAGCTGATGTATCCTTTTAAAGTATTTTTCTACATTGTGTACTAGTTCTGTTGCACTTGCAAGAACCAATAAGGGGGAGTTTTTCTTAAACCTTCCGAGTCGGAGGACTTTGTAAAGATGAATCTGTAATTTGGGTTTCATGTATGTTTAAAAATTGCACCTGCCCAATAACTGGTAAGTGCGTGGAAGGCCTCATAAAAATACAGTTCACATCCTTCCATGTCTGCTGTCATCACACGCTGCATTTCCCTCGGTTACCAAGAACTGAAGAGGTTTGGGGGTGAGCAGATCCCTCCTCTGTGCTGCCCTGTGTTACTGCTGGTAAAGCCCTTGTCAGCCCCTTCTCTAGATGATCCTTTTTTTGTTATAATTTTCCTGAGAAAACATCAAAGGCATTAACAGAAAATGTCAGCTCCAGGGATTGCAGCCCAAAATATGGTTGTGCAAAAAGTCCCAAATACTTTCCTGAGAGTTGCTCCATTTTCCCCCTTTTCTTTTTGCCTTGCTCCTGCTCTGTTCACATTACAGCTATCAGTGGCAGGATTGAGAATTCTCCCCATCTTGGGTGGGGGACACACAGCAGAGAAATAACAGCTTACAGAGAGGGGGAAAAAAAAAGGCCTTTCAACACTGACTTGAGAACATGAAGGCAGCTGTCAAAGCGCAGAGGAAAAAGTGCTTAGTTTTGCAACATCTAAATCTGCTTTCGACCCTGACACGGCTGTTGAGTTGCAACTAAAATGCAGAGTCTCCTTTTTTTGTGATGGGAGCCAAAAGCTCTGCCAAAGTTTGGTGGTTTTGCTACCGTATTTCATAAGGAAAATGAGAAGAGATTAGATGATCTCCGAAGATCCCATCCAATGTCAACAACCCTGTGATTACAGCATTAGTCACTTTTAAGTAGTCCTGCAAACGCAAACTATCTTCTTTTTTTCATTGCAAAATATGCTC